TTTGGGACGTTAGGTTTTTTTCGCCCTTAATCGTTTGTACTTGAAAGTCGTAAATGCTGTTAAAAAAAAACTTGTAAGTCCGTAAATTTTAGAATAAACATCTTTAGCATATCTATTTTCCTCTTTTATTAACGAAAGAATTATTATTAAAACTAGATATAAGTAAGAATTACAAAAGAACAAAGCGCCGGAACGTGTAGAGTACAATTACATCACTAGCTAGTACACTAACAAATTCGTCGGACTATATTTCTCTCTTTTGATTTATGAAAACCAAAAACATCTTATTCGACTTAAAATATTAAATTCATAACATCAATTATATGGGTCCAATTCCATAATAGAAAATAACTAAAGTATATCTTGATCATATTTTCTTGGAAACTAAGAGTACAGAAAAGGGTAGTGTTGGAATTATACAGAGTTTCCAACCAAATTCTAGATCTTTTCCAGGGTGTTTTTTGGTATTTACTCCATAGAGAGTATAAGACAGTCGTATGTAAGTAGCAAACAAAATGATCATTTTGATTTGAGTGCTCAAGTCCCCTCTTTAAAAAGCTTGAGATTGATGCTACAAACCACGAAGAAGACAATTAATAAAGAAACAGCTAAAAAATGGTGTCAAGGGAGAACAAGAAAGCTGCAATGCATGACAAGCTGCAACTCCTTCGATCTGTTACAAACTCTCATGCAGTAATTAATCCCCATTTCTTTCTTCTTTGTATCTTTCTTTTCATTCGATTAAATTTCCTCAAAAAAAATTCAGGCTTTCTTAAAATAACTTAACACGCTGTTTTATATTTCAAACCCGTGACTTGTTTGTATCAATGGGTAAAGTTTTGGGTCTAGCAAAAAGATATCTTCTGTTCAATAATACGAACACACAACTATTACTTTTAGTTTTCAGAGATACGATTCTTTATCAATCTTGAAATCATGAATAACCATCTTTTCAAGTGTTCCAACTTCAAACCCTAAATTAATTTCTTTGGATCTTTTCAAATTTTAATCACTATTATAACATCGTTAAAAAACTTGTTGCAGACGAAAGATTCATCGATCTTAATTTGATGCATCCAAGTACATAGAAGAGCTTAAACAGAAAATAGATATTCTGAATGAAGACATAGCTCGAAGCTCAACCTACTCATGGCCTATGGTATGTGTACCTCGATAAGAGTTTTTCACATGACTAAATACGCCCTTTTTTTACTAAACTTTATCAGGATTTGAATCAGGTTACAGTAGAAACCATGGAAAAGGGTATACAAGTAAATGTGTATTCAGAAAGAAGCTGCCCAGGTCTACTAGTTTTTGTGTTGAAAGTGTTTGAAGAATTCAGTCTTAATGTGTTGGAAGCTAGGGTTTCTTGTACAGGCAGTTTTCAACTTGAAGCACTTGGAGTTGAGGTAATTATTGGTTAGCATCGATAATCAAAATTCAAAAATATAATTTAGATTACAGAAAATGAATAGGAGTCAGGAGAATACCGCTTTATGCTTGGTTCAATGATCTTCATACATACAAAGCCAAAAACGTGTTGTTTTATTGATAAAGTACAACCGAACAGTGATGTTTTTAATAAAAGAAATCTAAAGATAAAATAAATGAATTAGGTTTGAATGAGGCTTACCTCTCTCCATTAAGGTTTCTTAATAAAAGAATTAGGTTTCAAGAGGATTAATTCTTAATTAATATACACGAGCCACTTAATTTTCAGGGGTGATGTATTCCTAGTTGATCATCCACTAATATTGTGTATAAACTCGAAACTTTTTACTTATCCTAAAAAAATTCATCTGTTTAAACGAAGTGAATGGTTTTTAAAGGACTAATTCATGCAAAGTTTCTCAATATTCATGCATGATCATGAATTTTCAAACGGTTTTGCAGATTGTGCATCTTAAATTTGCCTGCTTTTGGATCAATCATCATCAATATTCATGGCAATTATTTTCTCTCAAATTTGAATTATCGTACACTTGATTATTGTCTTCTATTGAAATAAATATATACAAGAAGTCCATGAATAATATACTTCAAATATTTCCTCCACGTGTCTCTCTAGAAAATAGAAAACGTTTAATTATATCTTAAAATGTCACAATATTTTCATATCACACCTCATTAAACTGAACAAAAATTGTTCTTGCAGAATGAAGAAAATGGAGAGACCATCGACACTCATATGGTGAAACAAGCAGTCTTACAAGCAATTCAAGACTGGAACGAAAGCAATGATCAAGAGTAATAAATAATTTAGATTTCCTCTAATATTCTTCAATGTTCTTAATTATTCTTCTTCCTCTAAGTTCATGGTTTCCCTCTATTTATATAAGTAATGATTTCAAGTCGAAGGAAATAGCTACCTAGCTAGCCTTCGAGAATCATCATTTCGAGCAAAGTATTTTTGAAAAAAGTTAATTAATTAATCAACCTTAAGTAATATGATCTTCTTCTTCGAATGTAAAAGAATGCTTGGGTCTTATGGAATCTAGGAACTTTTTACCCTTCAATAACAGAGAAGTGTTAAACATCATTTTATCTGTTAATTATTTAACTTCTTTTCCGGAAATTAATCCCAGATGTCTGAACTTTTTTTGAAGTACCAAAAGTTTGCCTTACAGAGTTGATTAAAACCACATACAAAAATACATTCTGTTTGCTACGAAAGGAGTAGTCAAATAAGCTCATAGAGAGACAGACAACCGGTCCAGAACTTCAGCCCAAAAGTAATATTAGTGAAGGACCGATTGTCATCTTGACTGGACCCGACCGGATCAACCGGTTTTCGTTTGGTTTGTTTGGTCTCGTCCATTTTGGTAGATTCTTTTTAATTTATAAATATAAAGTGATAATAAAAAATTTTGGAACTTTTAATTTTAAAATATTTAAACTGATCGATATTAGAAAAACGATATTTTTAAAATTTTAAAGATTGCAAAGACTATTGTTTAGATTTTATATTAAGTATTATACATTTACTACGATACCTATATATATAATAGCATCACGAAAATTCAGTCATTTTTGGGCGTATTTGGGTCGTAATATTCCAATGAACAGGAATCTGAGATTTTATTTAGTTTCATGTTTGATTGTTAAAAGGACAAAACTCAATTTTTGGCAGATTCCATCATTTAAAAGAGTGTTTGATTGAGCAAATATTTTCAAAAGAACTGTAATGTGTAGAATAAATTGAATATAAGGAAATTCAATTCTTATGAATTTGAGATCTGCAACAGATTTGTGTGGTATGTTATTAAATTTCGTACATTTGTATATTAAGTTATAACCCGTGAAAACCATGATAGATATGTTTTAAATTATTATATAGACAAAATAATAATAAAGAAGGGAAAATGACACAAATGCCCTACGAACTTTTTAAGGTTTTTCCGTTAAGTCCCTAAAGTTTATTTCGGACTCTATGGGTCCCTAAACTAGAATACGACATGCACTTTTAGTCTCTGTCAACCTGTAATAGTCGGTTCACCGTGCGACATGGACCATTTAGACCAAAAAACTCACATTGTGCCCCTATAAAGCCAAAAAAAAATAATTCGGTTTGCAGGTGATTGGTTATGGTGGCTGGCTGGTGGTTATTATGGGTTATAGGTGCTTCGGTGGTGGCTGATTTCACGAGACAAAAGGGAGGAATAAGGGTGGTTAGATTGGGCTGTTGTGATATTGATTCAGTGGTGATTAAGGTGGGTTATGGTGGTTGTAATGGCTGAATAAAATGTTGATGAGCAGTTGGTTCAGGTAGGGTGACGGGTTGACGGAGGAGGTTGTGAGGAAGATGGAATAAGGGTGGTATTGGGTGGAGATGAAGGTGAGACTAGCATTTTATCCCCGAACTTATTTTTTTGACTTTATAGGGGCACAATATGAGTTTTTGTGGTCTAAATGGTCATTGTTGCATGGTCAACCGGCTATTGCAGGTTAACAGTGACTAAAAGAGCAGGTCGTATCCTAGTTTAGAGACTCATAAAACCTGACAAAAACTTCAGGAACTCAACGGGTAAACCCTAGAAAGTTCGTAGGGCATTTGTGTCATTTTCCCTAATAAATAATGTAATTAAGAGAATGTATCCTGATTTCTTCGGATAAATTAAGATCGGATTTTTTATTTTCAAAATATAAACTGAAGTTGATTTGTTACCAACAAAAATAGAAAATAGTAGAAATTATAGAAAAATTTAACATTTCAAAAGAGTAAGCTAAAAAAGGGATATTTATCGTTTTTACGTTTTGGTTATTAGGATACATAGATGTTTATTTGAATTGTAAAATTTTCCTAAAAGATTTGAAATGTAAATATCGACAATTTTTTGTTGAAGTGTTAAATTTGCTTTTGTTAATTTCTTTTTTCACAAATGAAAAATAGAAATATTTGATGTTACGTGTAAAGCCCACCCCTTAAAATAGTGAATAAGAAGACATCATTTACAATAATGTCAAATCGAATGCAGATACTCGGTTCAAAATACATACAATATAAAAACTAGTCCAAATGGTTATAAAAACCATAAGGAAACCATACAATATTATAAAAAGCTACGAGTGATGTCTAAATGTTTCTCTCATGTTAATCATCCTATAAACCCGGAATGCATGTCATATAAAACAAATCATCTATTTACTTCAATCATATACCTGTAATACATATCATATAAAATAAAAGGCATAAGATAATAATGTCATGTGAGATACATATGTTTTGACATAACTCATTTACATTTAAAATCATTTGGTAACTTTAGCTTTAAACCCATTCAAAACTATAAACATACTTTGATACATAAACCAAATTTAACGTAATGAAATGCATGATGAAAGCAAACATACATGTAAAACGGCCTTACCGAACCACCATACTTCCCTTGCATCATAGTGAGAAAAAAAATAAACTTATTCTGATAGTTTAATCATAACTAACTAGATTATAACCCGCGTTAAACGCGGGAAACACATAAAAAAACATACAAATGTGTACGGATAATGCATAATAATTATAAAAAAATTATGACTATTAGTATTATTGAAGTGTGTAGAAGATACATGAAATCGATGAATATCTATAATCATTGAAGACAACTTTTTACGTTAAAACGACTTGGATGAATTAATGGGTTAAAATGAATTTATTAAATTCTTCAATACATATATTAAAAAAATTAATATCATAGAACAAAATAAACATGATTTGATGATTAAAACTATAAATTTAAAAAAAAAAAAAAACAAAGTATTCAATCATAAAGTAATATAAAATATTAAATATCTTCATGAGAAAAACAAAGGTTTATTATAGCAGTAGCCAACAGGTAGGATATGGTTATGCTTCATTAATATATATTTTAAAAAAATAAAAAGGCATGAATGTTTTTGGTATAAACATGTTTTTGCCATGCAAAATATATGCACCAAATTTATGACAACTTATATACTCTATTCAAAATGAGGGTAATACCATACTACTTTATTCTTTTACTTTTACACTTTAGATATGTTATAAAATCGGGTAACATGTACCGAAACCGTTTTCAGTTCCAAAATTAAAAGAACCGGTGTAACCGGTATCCTGTTCTAGTTCCAACAAAATCCAATACTCACGACTACAATTTTCCTATAGAAAAGAATAGCGAAAAACATCAATCCTCGACATCGACAATCATGCCCCATCAATACTTGATTCAAAACTTACCCCCATCTGCTATATCTTGCATTCGATGAGTGCCACACCCATGAACTTTTGACGAACCAGAAGCAATGTATACCGATTAAACTCGAGCCGAACCAAAACTTGTATCAAGCTAACCCGTGAAGTTTGCAAAAAAAGATAAGAGCTATCAACTTGTGGAAATCTAAAAGCAGCACCAAACTAAAAACTTTATTAAGCATCCTCAAAGGAAGTATCATTGTGCTTTGACCAAGACCATCCATTCTTACTATCTTTCCAATACCATTTTTCATTATTCCAATACAAATGATTATTTCTAAAGCACATGGTACAACTTGAATTCAACCCTCTAAAACTAAGGAAATAAAACAACCAAATTTATTTGTATCTATTCTATCCGCTATCAAATTTCAAATCAAACAGGTGTATCCTTTATTTTTTAATAAATCAATTCCAATTTTGCAATTTGGTAACTCTTTTACATACTGTTTATACTTTTAGAACTTCCTTGTCATGAAAACTCATGCGTTTATTTCTTTATTTTTTATTAAACTTATTCCCAAAGTACCCTCTAGCAAAAGCATCATTATCTATCTTCCTCCTGTACTTTAATATATCTGCCATTTACTCAAATTAAATGCCATTGTACTTTGCTTCCAATCCCATAAAACAACAGAAGACTATTAGCACCAATTAAGTTTACAGCAACCAAAAGAGCAACAAGCTTAATACAATCAACAATAGAGAAAACCTTGAGCAGAAGATTGAGACAACCCTGTGCAAATCTGCAAATATCAAGAAAGCACCTGCACACACAGACTAAACACAAAAAAGAATAACACGCACCAATTAGTGATATGATTTGATAAAAATAGTAATTTATCTATAGAGTGGGTGATAATGGAAATAATGATCACATTTACAAAGTCATCATTCCAATCTTTTTTCAGTTTAACTTCAACAATTTCTAGTGCAAATATAGAAACAAAAAAGAAAAAAGTGTATATAGTTTTAGTTTACCTCAAAAACTTCCATTTTGTTCACCGATATGAATCAAGTGGAATGTCAACAGGGGCACTCCTGTCATAAAAAATTGCAGGTTCATGAGGAAGTGGTGATAGTCGAGAGTTTGCAGCAGAAGAAACACTCTGCAAAGTCAAGTTAAATTTACATAAAGATTAAAAGTAAAAGAATTTCACATACCCATATAACAAAAAAAATGAAAAGTCACTGTATAATGATTAAAAGTACTATGAACAAACAAAAAGGGTTTAGACTTACTGATGTGTAGAATGAACCTCCTGTATAATTTGTACTCTTTCCAGCTCCTTTACCTCCAGATCCTTGTTCCTGTTTATGTAAAATTATGAACAAATCATTTCACAATAATATTGACTTATTAAAGGCAGAGTAACATAGAAAGAACACACCAAATGTATGTACTATTAGATAAATGATACAAGTCTTTTTTTTAATGTATCATTGTTCCTTTACCCTCCACACGCTATTATCTGAAAAATGAAAAAACATAAAATTGATTAAATCGCTTAATTAGAAATTTTAACATGTCATCAACCATCATAATTGATTGAAGAAAAAACGAAATTCATTTGAAACCTTGTTAGGTTTAGTGAACTCAAAATCCCAACAGCCACTCAAAACATTTCTGTAAATATAAAATCATATCAGTAAACCCTTTAAACTATAATTCATTTGAAATAAGAAATATATCAAACTCAATAAACCTAGGCATCGATCAAATTGAAGGAAATCAGACGGAGGCAAAATGAGAGATGAAAGCAGGTAATTGATTA